TGACCATTGATTTCTTCCGACCGCTCGATCTAGGAGGTCCATTCTCGTCGCGGTTGGGCACGGAGCCCGTGGCTCGACGACCTCCGAGAGCTTGACTCCTGCCGTGGTGGGACCCTAGGCCCACAACCTTGCGACCTCTGGGCGTATGACTCCCCCGCTAGTGGCCTGTTAGCGATTGGTCTTGGCCCTAGCCTATCTCGAGTTGTTACGCAGGTGCCTAACCTTTCTAGGGCGGGCCTGGTTTGGGTTGGTCTCCCCCTGCTCTTTTCTTGTTGTCGTTGTCGACCTCGGTTGGTGCCACCTCCCTCCCGCCTGTCTGACGGTCGGGGTGAGTGAACTGGAATGTCATTCCAGTTTGCATTCCAAGTGGATGAGTTGTTTACATTCTAATTTAATAATGCAGTTGGATGATTCTTCATCTTATCATCAAGGAACCACTCCAAGTGATACTCCAAGTGAGGCAATTGAACAATCGGTCGGGCAAAATAGTAAACGTTCAAACAGTGGATTTCCACCAAAACCAATTGCTCCAAGGTATGAGGGATGGACTCACTTTACTAGATTGGATGACAATATGGATAAGTGTACATGTAATTACTGCCATAAAAAATTTAAGTGTGCAATAATTGGTGGCACTAGTAGCTTGAAAAAACACATAATCAAAGATGTACTGCATATAAGGACCATCTTGATGGTGCAACTCAAAAAAAAAATCTAACAATACATGAAAGTGCAAGTGTTGTTAAAGGTGGTAGTAATTCTAGTAATCTTGTGGTGGTTGGGTTTAATCAAGATGCTTGTAGGAGGGTAACTGTTAAGATGATTATTTTGGATGAATTGTCTTTTTGTTAAGTGGATGGAGATGGGTTTAAACAATTTTGTAGTGTTGTTTGTCCAAAATTTATTATCCCTTCAAGAAGAACAATGACAAGAGATGTAGTTGAATTGTACATGAAAGAAAAAGCTTTATTGAAGAGCATGATTAGTGAGTCAAGAGTTTCTTTAACTACTGATATATGGACTGCAAGTACTACTACTGTCAGTTATATGGTTATCACTGCTCATTATATTGATGTGAACTGGCAGTTGCATAGAAAAATTATCAGTTTTAAACCAATTTCTTATCATAAAGGTGAAAAATTGCAAAAGAACTTGAGAATTGTTTGGTTGATTGGGGCATCACCAAAGTTTTTACTATCACAGTTGACAATGCATCTGCCAATGATAGTGCAATTAGGATTTTCAAAACTAAATTGAAGTGTTGGAGAGAGGACCCATTGATATTGGGTGGAGATTTTATGCATGTGCGTTGTTGTGCACATATTTTGAATTTGATTGTGAAGGATGGTTTGGCAGCGGTGGGTAGTAGTGTGGTTAGTGTTCGTAATGCAGTGAAGTATGTGAGATCATCCAATTCTAAATTTCAAGCATTTCACATACGTACTAAGCAAGATAACCTAACCAGAGGGAGTTTGATTTTAGATTGCAATACTAGATGGAATTCTACTTACCTCATGTTGTCTACAGCTCTCAAGTATAGGGCAGCATTTGACCGAATGGCTAATGAAGACAAATTGTATGATGCTTACTTTAAAGAAGATGAAAATGGAAAGAGAAGGGTTGTGCCACCATTATCAGATGATTGGGAGAATGTCCGTTGATTGGTACAATTTTTGAAATTTTTTTATAATGCGACTTTGACTAGAAGTTGTTTACCTTTGACTATAGTTTTTCACTTTAACTATAGTTCTAAACCCCAAAAAAGAGGGGAAGTTATTTTTCATGAAAACAAAGATAATTTCCCTTTGACTAGAAGTTGTTTACCTTTGACTATAGTTTTTTACCCTTTGTCATACACAAAAATTAATGGGTTATTTATCCATACCCCACAATCTAAATAATTAAATTAATGCATATAACTCATTGATGGTATTAAGAGACCGTCCCTATTACACAATACTTTTTTTTTTTTTTTTTTTTGAAAATCCCTATCACACAATACAATTGGATAGAAATATTGGTAAAACAGTGAAAAATAAATATAATATTAATTGATCGAGAAATGCTTCTTACCCATACAAAAATTACACAATTTTACAATAGGACTATAAATAAATAAATATGGCCAAATCCAGAAGGCTCAAAGGCAATTGAACGCTGGTTGGTTAATGAAGTGTTCAGCACTCTGTTGAAGGAAATCCGGAATGGTGTGTGCAAAAGAGCTGATGATGAGCAACAAATCACAAAATAAAACTTAATGCACCATCCGGGAATCAAACCCGGGTCTATATTGTGGCAGGGTACTATTCTACCACTAGACCACTGGTGCAACTTGTTAAGCTAATCGTCTTGTATCTATACTATATTATCTTCGATGGGCATGACTATTTGCATGGGACGTGGAGAGCGGAGACAATGGATGGTAGGCTACTTGACTTGATAATCACAATAGTTTAAATTCAACTTCCTATTGGAGTTATCTATTAACTTTTTAAATTTGAGCTGAGTATTAACTATCAGCAACTTATGCTGGTTTATTATTTCATTGTAATCCTTTGACAGATAAGACCACAAAACAAATTTTACCCAAAATACACATGCATTCGAGTAGTGATTGTAAACTTTCTCGTAAACCAAACCAGCGGAACTTCATTCTCTTTTACTTGTGTTTTAAAAGAAGGTTAAGTAAATTGAGATAAATTAGGGGGTTGCGGGAGGTATGAGATATTAAAAGATTGTACTGTAATTGTTATTATTGTCTTCAATATTTTTTCTACCGTCTTCATGTCACTTATGGAGGCATACACAAAGCCAGAACTTTCACTCTCCTAAAAGAATAAAATAAGAAATACCGTTCATAAATCATAAATACTTTCTTAACTTAAGCTCGATTCCATGATTTCTCATTTAAAATAGTCACTTTATGCCATTTCACCATAAAGTCTTTGGCTCATGAATACGTGTTATAAAATAATAGTACTCCACATAGCTAGTTTTTAGAGTATTAATTTAATAGATGAGAAGTCTGCTTAGTTTGTATTATCCGAAAATTAATTCAAATTAATTAAACTAATTAGTATATTAATCACTACTCATTCGTACATACTTTATTATATTACAAAAATATTAGTGTCTTTCATTAGCTCAAGACTCTAAAAAATATGTGAAAAAATACCCAAACTAACAACAATATAAAAAATTACGAGAAAAATCAATCACCTATTTACCACCCCATAACTACCACCCTACCCTTCACTAGGGGTGTGCAGCGGACGGGTTCGGGCGGATCGGATTGGGGAACCGTTCATTCGATCGGATTTCGGATTGGGAAAAACTACCCCAATCCGGTCGAATTAAGAGGGAAATCCGCGGATACGGTCGGGTGGGGGTCGGATTTCGGTTTGAAGTCGGAGTATAAAACATACAAAAAAAAAAAAAACTGTAAAAATGTTCAACAAACTTAATAACCCTAAAATAAATTACCAAAGCTATGTAGGCATTTAGATACACAATTACATATTGCAATTTCCAACTTTGGCTCAAAAAGCAAAAATGAAGTTCACAAAAATACACACAATCAACAATTCTCAAACAACACTAAACTACTAAGTACTAATTACTAAAGTACTCAGCAGTCAGCAATCAGCATTCAGCATTAGTCACCATTCACCAATCAGCATTCATCCATTCCTCATCTTCCTGCTCAATTATAAAACCATTAAAGGCTTTAAACTTTAAAGCCAATAAAGACAAAGAGAAGTAGAGGACTAATAATAATTAATAAGAAAGGCTCAGATTGCTTTTTTTCATATCATTTTAGAGTTGGGGGCAAATTGCTTCATGAGTTTTGTCTCAGAGCAACATACCAAACACCCAAAGTCCTTTTATTCAGACAAATGGTGGAAGCATCATCATAGCCATAACTAAACAGAAAGGAGAATATGAGAGGAAGGGAAGTGATATACCAAAATTCCAGAATACCAGAGATGTAACTGAGTAAGGGCAGCAACATTTATAAAAAAGTTACCAAGCTACTTAGCAATTAGCAGTTCTGGAATCTTACCTGAGTTGCCTCAAAGAGTCCACACATTTATCAATCAAACTAAACAGAAAGTCAGAAAGCATTCAAAGCAATGTTATATAAAAGTATTACAGCAATTGTTGGGAGTGTTCCAACCGTACTTGGTAAAGAACCAGCAGCTCCAGTGGACAATTCTGCACAAAAAGGAAAAACAAAAAAGAGTTTAGAAAAGGTAACAATTAACAATTTATAAAGTTGAAACCTAGAAAGTTAGAAAAAAAAAAAAAAAACAGTACCCTTCTCTAATCTTTCAACATCATCCAAGTTTTCCTCAACAGAGATTGGATGATTGGGTGCCCTCAACCAATCTTGTGCACATACTAGGGCTTCAACAATTTTAGGAGTTAAGGAACTCCTAAAGGCATCTAATACCCTACCACTAGTACTGAATGCACTCTCAGAGGCAACAGTTGAAATGGGAACAGCCAGCACATCCCTTGCCATTCTAGAGAGTATAGGAAATCTATCACTGTTGACCTTCCACCATCTTAAGACATCAAAGTCCACATTTTCTTCATCTTCCACTAATTTTTCACTTAGATAAATCTGGAGTTCAGTTTCTTTACTGCTTCCACCAGACTCCATTCTCTGTTTTTTAAGCTGGCTTTTCATTCTAGCCTGAGGTTTTCCAACTGAAGTTTGAGAATGGACAGGTTCAGATTGGGTAGATTGCAATTGCACAGTAGGGGATGCAGACTGCACATGGTAGGTGGCTGTATAATCATTAAACAACAGAACCATAGAAGATTGAACCTTTTCAAAGCATGATTTTCCTTTTTCATCACCATATAACTGGGCAAATTGGGCAGGCATGTACTCAATCTTATCCCTAGGATCCAAAATATTGGCATAGAATATCAAGAAGTTCATTTTTTCAGGATCTCCCCAATATTTTTCAAATTTTTGTTTCATATGGGACCCCATTTCCTATAAAACAGACATAACACAGAAAAAATTAACACAAAGTCAAACACAATTCACAGATGCATACAAACACATTCAGAAATCAGAAAATGTTAACAATTTACCTTTTTAGAGGTTGAAACAGAGTTAACCATGTCATCCAGCATGCAACCTAAGTCAGAAATCTCAGAAAAGAAAGTATTTGAAGTGACATAGAGAGAACCAGATATTCTCACAGTCATCTCATAGAAGCCTTTCAGGAAATTGACTAAGCTTTGCACAGAAAGCCAATCCATAAAATTTGGAATAGAATCAGATAAGTCAGCATTCAATGAGGCATCATTCTCATAAGCTTCAAAGGCCCTCTGGTACTGAAGGGCAGTGTTGAGCATCATGTATGTGCTGTTCCATCTTGTTGGAACATCAAGTTGTAATGCACATTTGGCTTCCACCCCATTAAGCACAGCAATCTCTCTAAACTTCTTAAGTCTGGCAGGAGAACTGCTCACCCATCTCACAACATCTCTAACTTTCTTAACAGAAGGACCTGCATTTCTCAACCCATCCTGAACCACTAAGTTCAACACATGGGCTATGCACCTCATGTGCATATATTGAACCCTAACAGAAGACCCACCCCAAGACAGAAGTTTTTTCTTGAAAAACCCCAAAGCTGTGTCATTTGAAGAGGCATTATCAATAGTAACAGTGAAGACATTTTTAATCCCCCAATCAAGAAGACAACTCTCAAGGGCTTTGGCTATGTACTCTCCCTTATGAGAAGAAATTGGGACAAAGGAAATGATCTTTTTGTTAAGCTTCCACTGATCATCAATGAAATGTGCAGTAATGCACATGTAATTTATCCTTTGGACAGAGGTCCATGTATCAGTGGTCAAGCTGACCCTTTGGGTGCTCACCCTAAACAACTTTTTTAAGCTTATTCTCTCATCTAGGTAAATCTAGTAAATGTCTCTAGAAATGGTCCACCTAGAAGGGATTTGAAACCTAGGACAAGCAACTAAAATGAATTTCCTAAAGCCATTTCCCTCAACAATCCTAAAGGGAAGTTCATCAACAATTATCATCTCACACAATGCCCTCCTAATAGCCTCTTGGTTGAAAACCCAAGTCCCCAAAACCCCCTCAGAAGCTTCTGTTCCAGAGGCATTAAAGGTGAGAAGAGACTGCCTTGTGTCCTTACAATGAGGATTTTTTAGGCAGGCCTTCATATGGTTTTTCAATGAGGAAGTGCCATGCTTTTTACTTTCACATTTATAAATTTTTGCACAATAAAGGCATTTGCCCTCAACTACTGGTCCCTCAGTTTCACCTTCAGCAGGTGGAGCACGGATCTTTTCAAAATGATCCTATACTATAGATCTAGACTCCACCTCTTTCCTCTTCTTTGTAGGAACAACAGGAGGAGAAGACATAGGATTTGTCTGAGGATTTCTCTCAGTACCTTGAGCTTCTACTCCATGCTCCTCATCAGTTGAGGTTGGAGGGTGTCCAGATGCACTGATGCTTTCCATCTATAAAGATGGGCATCAGTATCCAAATAAAGCAGACAACCAAACAGCATGTGAGATTACAAATCATACAATCATATTAAAGCTTCCACCATACAATCATACATAGAAGTATTACATATTACTTTCAGTTAATTTCACATGTCATCATGTATGCAGAATTGCACATAAACAATTTAAGGGTCACATATCCATAAACTTAATACAATTTACAATTTACAATTTACAAAGAAATCCATATTCAGGCATTCAAGCTAAGTGGATGTATGCCACTTCATAATGCTCATCATCTATATGGATTTCACACAAAGGGGCTAGGGCTTCCACCAAATTAGGGACAATTACACCTTTAAGCCTTTAACTCAGTTAGTCAGTTACACACTTACAGATTAAGCTTCCACCAACAGATTACAATTTAGTGACAAGTGAGTAAGTAATCTGGAACTTCTCAACAGATCACAACATCACAGTCTATACAAATCACAAAATCACAATAAGAAAAACACTAATCAAACTATCAAACTAACAATCATAAATTAGAGACAAGTGAGTAAGTAATCTGGAACTTCTCAACAGATCACAACATCACAGTCCATACAAATCACAAAATCACAATCAGAAAAACCCTAATCAAACTATCAAACTAACAATCTTAAATTAGAGACAAGTGAGTAAGTAATCTGGAACTTCTCAACAGATCACAACATCACAGTCCATACAAATCACAAAATCACAATCAGAAAAACCCTAATCAAACTATCAAACTAACAATCTTAAATTAGAGATAAGTGAGTAAGTAATATGGAACTTCTCAACAGATCACAACATCACAGTCCATACAAATCACAAAATCACAATCAGAAAAACCCTAATCAAACTATCAAACTAACAATCTTAAATTAGAGACAAGTGAGTAAATAATCTGGAACTTCTCAACAGATTACAACATCACAGTCCATACAAATCACAAAATCACAATCAGAAAAACCCTAATCAAGCTATCAAACTAACAATCTTAAATTAGATACAAGTGAGTAAATAATCTGAAACTTCTCAACAGATCACAACATCACAGTCCATACAAATCACAAAATCACAATCAGAAAAACCCTAATCAAACTATCAAACTAACAATCTTAAATTAGAGACAAGTGAGTAAGTAATCTGGAACTTCTCAACAGATCACAACATCACAGTCCATACAAATCACAAAATCAGAATCAGAAAAACCCTAATCAAACTATCAAACCAACAATCTAAAAAACTAGGGTTTAGAGAATAGAGATTACTTCGTTTCTCTAAATTAAACCCCCGAGAACAAAGGGCTTCGATTCCTAGCCAGCGAACTGCAATCCACCGGAGTATCGCTCCCACCGGAGACTCGCTTGGGGCTTGAGGGCTACCAGAAACGAATGGGGCTTGAGAGCTTCCACCGGAGAATAATAGCTTCCACACTACAGACACTCACACTCTCAGAGTCTCAGAGAGACTGTCTGAGAGAAGCTGAGATTCTAAGAACTGAGAGTTCTCTGGAAGAAGGGAACGAGAGACTGTGAGAGAACTAGGGTAGAGAGAAGAGAGAAGTCAGAGAGTTCTCTGGAAGAAGGGAAAGGGCGAAGACAGAAGAGCTGCGCAAATGAGACTAGGGTTTGCGAATTCTCCGCTACTTCTTCTATATATACTTAGGCTACACGACGTCGCATTATACGTAGGCTTAGTCTAATTCGGGTGATCGGACGGGTTCGGGTGGAAAATATACCCCCCTCCCCGACCTAATTAAACCGGCGTCGTTTTCCTCCTCGGTTCGGTTTTGCCTGATCGGGTTCGGTTCCCGGTCCATTCTTGTGTGTCGGGTTCGGGTCGGTCGGGTTGGGCGGGTTGGGCGGGTTATGCACAGGCCTACCCTTCACCCGATGCGGTAAGGACATTATATTATGGGAGCATTACCCATGGCAATTGGAAGGTAAAAATATGCCATAGTAACTATCAGGAGTATTGGATGATCCGGATGCTTGACACGTGGCAAAATCCAACCACCTTGACAGTTTTGTTAGTTGCCTTCATCAACTGCCATTTCAACAGTTTTTCCCGCTTTCATCTAAGTGTATAAACATGTTCCTGTACTCTTGTTCAGACTTGATGAATTCAATATACACAATTCTCCTTTCTTTCTTCTCTCTGTCTCTTGGAAGCACTAATCAAAACATGTTATCAGAGCTTCACATTGGTGCTCCTTGAGAACGTATCCATGGCGACCTCTGTGGGAAATTGGCCTTCAATTGGCAATAGAACGACTCCAACAACGCCAGCCAATCATACGACAACTGCTCCGATGACAACTGAGAACCAGAATCAGATACCTTCCTCCTCTAATCCGGCTGCTGGATCAAACCCTAGAGAGGTAACCTTCGATCCAGACAACCAATCGAATCCGTATTTTCTGCATGCTAATGAGAATCCAGCTCTAGTTCTGGTTTCAACGCTCATGGATGGATCCAACTACCATCCCTGGGCTAGGGCAATGACGATGGCCCTGTCTTGTAAGAACAAGACTGCCTTCATCAATGGTAGCATCACCAAACCCTCCCTAGATGACCACAAATTTCAGGTCTGGGAGCGATGCAACAACACTGTTGTGTCCTGGATAGTGAGGTCTTTATCTCCTACTGTGGGTAGAAGTGTTCTCTGGATAGAGACTGCTTATGGAATTTGGGACGATCTTAGGCGAAGATTTAGCCAACAAGATTTGTTTCGGACAGCAGAAATAAAGAGTGAGATATACCAGACAAAACAAGGAGAATGTTCTCTAAATGAATACTTCACTAGGCAAAAATTGCTGTGGGATGAACTTTTGATCCTTAGACCTGTTGTCTTATGTAATTGCAATCCAAAATGTCAATCTGGAAAGAAGATAGATGAATTGAATAGCCTAGCTGAGAAAGACAAACTATCAGTTTTCTTGCTTGGATTACATGAAAGATATACTGGGGCAAAGAACCAAATTATGCTAATGAGACCCATCCCAGATGTATGTGAAGCCTACTCTATGATAGCTCAGCAAGAAAGGCAGTTCCAGATGAACACGATAGGTTTTGGGAGTCAATTGTATCAAAGTGGGGAGAACTCAGCTACTGGAAGCATATTCTTGACTAATGCAGACCAGAGCAATCAACAGAGCTTCAAGAGGTTCCCCACAAACAGCAAGAAGCCTGTGTGCACCTATTGTGGCTACACTGGACACACACATGATAAGTGTTACAAGAAGCATGGCTATCCACCAGGGTGGAAGCCAAGATCAAAAGGCCAAGGGTCTATCAATCAAGCTCAAGGGTCCCTAACAGTACAACCTGCCTCTGATGTAAATTTTAATCAAGAAGACTTCAAAAGATTCTTAGATTTTATGCAGAAGCACAAGCCACCAGGTGGGCACCAGAGTACTCCTCTTGATCAGCCCTCAGCACAGGCCAACACCATATCTGGTTCCACCATTTCCTTCTCAGGAAACCAACTGGAAGGTATGAACCCTTCATCTCACTTGGCTGTTTATAGCAAGAATGAGTGGATCTTGGACAGTGGTGCCACTCACCACATTGCTTGTAATAAGAATCTGTTAAGAAATTTAGAAGAGATTCATCATATGCATGTCAACCTGCCCAATGGCACACAAATTGCTATCTCCCACACTGGAACAGTTCATCTATCTGATGAACTTGTATTGTATAATGTTCTTTATGTCCCTGGATTCCATTGCAACCTAATCTCTGTTGGTGCCCTCATCATGAGCTCTAATTGTGTTATGAAGCTTCACACTAACAAGTGCCTTATACAGGATCCCACCCTTGGCAAGATGATTGGAATGGCTGAGCTTCAAAAGGGATTGTATCACTTAGTCTTCCCTACTACTCCTTATGTTTGCAATGTAATCTCTACTGTAAATAAATGTAATCTCTGGCATGTTAGACTAGGACATGCCCCTTATACCAAACTACAATTTTTGAACAGAATGGACCCCATCATTCATATGAATAAAAGTCTTGTTTGTGACTGTTGTCATTTTGCAAAACAGAAAAGACTCCCCTTCCAGTCTAGTACTTCTAACTCTGTTGCTTGTTTTGATCTATTACATATGGATATCTGGGGTCCATACAAGGCTGCTACCTTGCATGGTCATCACTACTTTCTCACCATGGTAGATGATCACAGCAGATCAGTGTGGGTTCATCTCATGAAAAGCAAATCTGAGGTCAGAAATCTAGTCACAAGCTTCTGCAATTTGGTTGAGACTCAGTTCAACACCAAAGTAAAGTGCATCAGGACTGATAATGGGTTGGAGTTTGATATGGTCCAGTTCTTTGCTCAGAAAGGAATAGTCCACCAAACCTCTTGCACTTACACACCTCAGCAAAACAGCAGGGTGGAAAGGAAACATGGGCATCTTCTCTCTGTTGCAAGAGCCCTCAGATTTCAAGCATGCCTGCCAGAATGCTTCTGGAGAGAGTGTATACTGCATGCTGCTTACATTATTAATAGGTTGCCATCTGCTGCTATCAATCATCAAATACCCTATCAAGTCCTGATCAATAAGCAACCTCAGTATCAACACATAAGGGTCTTTGGATGCCTTGCCTATGCCACAACAGTTGGTCCAAAGTCTAAGTTTGATCCCAGGGCCAAGAAGTGCATATTCTTGGGATATACCAATGGTATTAAGGGTTACAAGCTTTATGATATCCAGTCCAAGGAAATATTCATGTCAAGAGATGTGTCATTTCATGAGCACATTTTTCCATTCAAGCAGATTCATGTGTCAAGGAAGGAATTCTCTCAGGATGTATTTCCTGTTATTAATGAGATCCTAGAAGAAGCTTCAGAAATCCCACAGCTCAACAGACCTATTGCATATAACCCAAATGCAGTGTCTAAGAACCCTGGTCCTTCCCTTGGAGTAGAACCTGATACTGTATCTGAGAACCTTGATCACTTCCCAGCTGAATCATCATCAGAAGTTGCTCCTGAGGAATCCACTCACAGTCCTACTTTGGCTCAGCATCAACCAGATATCAGAAAGTCAACTAGACAAAGACAGTTTCCTTCATACTTGAAGGACTATGTGTGCCACAACACCACAGTAAGAACTTCTCCTCATAATATTACCAAAACCTTGAACTATGACAGGCTTTCACCCTCCTACCAGTCATTTGTCATGAATATTTCATGCCACACTGAGCCTAAGAACTACAAATAAGCAGCTCAACATGGTCATTGGAGGAAAGCTATGGAAGAAGAGATATCTGCTCTTGAAAACAACAATACTTGGCACTTGACAGAACTGCCCCCCAACAAGAAGAAAATAGGTTGCAAATGGGTATATAAGATCAAGTACAAATCAGATGGAAGCATTGAAAGATATAAAGCTAGGTTGGTGGCAAAAGGGTACACACAAACCTTGGGAATTGACTACCTTGACACCTTTAGTCCTGTGGCTAAAATGACTACCATCAGGATGTTCTTGGCCATAGCAGCAGCCAAGAATTGGCACCTTCACCAAATGGATGTTAACAATGCATTCCTTCATGGAAATCTAGATGAAGAAGTGTATATGGAACTTCCACCTGGATTTGAAAAAGGGCAGAGCAATCAGGTCTGCAAGCTTAACAAATCCCTATATGGATTAAAACAGGCTAGCAGGCAATGGAACACAAAGTTGAATCTGGCTTTACAGAATATGGGGTTCAAGCAGTCTCAACCTGACAACTCTCTGTTTGTAAAAGGAGAAGGCACATCCTTTGTGGCCTTACTAGTATATGTGGATGATATAATTGTGGGGGGTGCTGATTTGAAGTTAATAGAGCAGATCAAGGCACAACTTAATGCCAATTTCCAAATCAAAGACCTGGGAGCTTTGAGATATTTCCTAGGATTGGAAGTGGCAAGACAAAAGAAGGGTATAGTCATCTCCCAGAGAAAGTATGCACTGGAATTGCTGGAGGATGCAGGCTTCATAGATGCTAAGCCTGTATACAGTCCTACAACTCCATCCCAAAAACTGAGCAAAGATGCAGGGACTCCTCTAGAAGACAACACTCAGTTCAGAAGGATAATAGGCAAGTTACTATATCTGACAATCTCCAGGCCAGATATAAGTTTTGCTACTCAACAACTCTCACAGTTCCTAGACACACCAACTGATCTACACCTTCAGGCAGCTCATAGGGTACTACGATATATAAAAAGTGCCCCTGGTCAGGGCCTCCTATTTCCAGCTACATCCAGTCTCAAATTAAAGGCCTTCTCTGATTCGGATTGGGGAGCATGTGTGGATACTAGGAGATCTATTACTGGTTTCTGCATTTTCCTAGGAGAATCCTTGGTGTCATGGAAATCAAAGAAGCAAGTGACAATCTCAAAGTCCTCCTCAGAGGCTGAGTACAGGGCCCTAGCAGCCACCACTTGTGAGATACAATGGCTGTTTTATCTTCTAGCTGAGTTTGGTGTGCAACATGATGCAGCTGCAGCTCTCTACTGTGACAGCAAATCGGCCATTGCCATTGCTGAGAATCCAGTCTTCCACGAACGTACCAAGCACATCGAATTGGACTGCCATCTTGTCCGGGAAAAACTGCAACAACGAGTCATCAAGTTATTTCATGTATCGTCTGCAAACCAATTGGCAGACATATTCACAAAACCCCACTGTCCAGCCTCATTTCACACTTATGTATCCAAGCTTGGATTGTTCAATCTATACAATCCAGCTTGCGAGGGGCTATCAGGAGCATTGGATGATCCGGATGCTTGACACGTGGCAAAATCCAACCACCTTGACAGTTTTGTTAGTTGCCTTCATCAACTGCCATTTCAACAGTTTTTCCCGCTTTCATCTAAGTGTATAAACATGTTCCTGTACTCTTGTTCAGACTTGATGAATTCAATATACACAATTCTCCTTTCTTTCTTCTCTCTGTCTCTTGGAAGCACTAATCAAAACAGTAACAATAGATTATTTCACTAAGTGGGTGGAAGCAAAATCTTTGGCTAGTATCATGACTTTGTTACGACTTATGATTAGTACGGAATAACATATATTGTTGAGAAAAATGCAAGTCAATAAATAATATTGTGGCTATCAATCTCATGATGCTTCAGTCAAGGTTTAATATTCACCACAAAGTGATAAATGGCTAAGATCTTTTTATTATAGTATATATGTGGCCTTAATTGTTTGGCCTCCACGTACTATTTAAACTAAAGTTATTCCTTGAGTTTATGAAATCAGACATTGAGATTGTCTGATATATTATTTTTGTCTCTTTATTATTCTGAATATGATGGGTAAGTTCTAATCCTTGCTCTGGGTGCAGGAGACATGGATTGTTGACTTGTTGTGTTAATCTTCGGGGACGATGTCGTTTTTATGAGCCTGCACCAGTAGTGACGAATTCTCTTCTACAATAATAATTATACCATGTTATAACATTTCTTATTTTCACATTATCAATCTAATTTCTCCAACATTTAGAAGGGTTGGCAGCCCAAAGCAAGTCATTACTGATATAATGGTAACAATTCGATTGTCCAGGACTTAGAGAATTCCAAGGCATGACATAAAGCACTCAAGGGTAGGAATGGTGTACCCTCAAGACAACGAGTAAGTTAAGAACATGAATAGAAACATTTCTATGGGATAAAGAATTGAAAACGATGGAAGATGCTGGCTCGAGATGGGTAGACGCCAGGAACGAGTGAAATAATAAAATTGTCATTACTTGTCCCCAATTTGGAATGTTCCACTGCTGGAAATCTGCCGATTTCCGACCACCTGAAAGTGGTCGGAAATGGCCTTTCCGACCTCTTTTCCGACCAATTTTGGTATTCGGAAAAATCACCCTCGCTATATCCGACCACCGAAGAAGTGGTCGGAAATAGCCATCACTTTTCTAAGGCCGTCGAAAAAAATACCAGGAAAATAGTCGGGCGGGTTCAGATTTCCCGACCACCGGTGGTCGGAAATATCGACCACTTTGGTGGTCGGAAAAGTGGACGTAGTCAACAAAAAAAATTCATTTCACCACAGAGAACCCCCTGTAGTGAAATGAATATATATTGTTGGAAGCTGGTAAGATATTTGCTACAAAACATATAGACATTTCATACACTTGAAAAGAATCCATTCATGAATATATAGTTGAAAATTTAACACAAGTCAATCTAGAAAGAAAAGGACAAACTATGATACACGGATGCAGTTCTTACAGCTTCTTCATCAATTTCATGTATGTTTGATGTCAGCTTCTTACAGCTATAAGTTATTGCATGAGGGCTGCAAGAATTGCAGACAGACGCTTAGGATGACATGTATGTTTGATGGATTCGATGAAAATAAGCTAAGGTTAACTTAATATGAGGAAATTACTTAATTACCTTTCCAAGATGGGTTTGTCTGAAGTGAGCAAAGAAGTTATCCCTCCAGTAGCTCCAAGAGCAAAGAAGAAGAACATTCCAGCAAGGAGTTTGGGATGCAAGTCTTTGGCTTTTGCTCTTTCCTCCTACACATTCATTGTACACCAATTTGAATGAATACTATATATGTACCACTATGTTGTGTCATGGTAATAACTATCTTAGAAACGATTTCATTAAGCTGCCTCTATATGATATTCGTATACCCAATTTAGAGACAGGCCGGAACTATAAATATAAACAGATGGACATTCAAGAACCCATCCAATTTTGAATACAAAAGATAGATTGCATAGTTGTTACCACATCATCAGAAAACCGGATTATGAATCCCAGGTAAGTTCCATAACCACCCATGGCAAAGAGCACAACATCCTATAAAGTGGAACAGCAACAATAACAACATTTAGGGAATACTAAATAAATAAATGACAGTAGATGCAATCTTAATTGGATCAATGGAATGGAATTTCCTTCAAACAGACAAGTGTACCATGTTGGCGGGATGGCCCCAATGCACGAGCCAGTCAGGAAGATTCCATGATTTAACGAGCTCAACGAACAGTCCAAACACAGACCTCACAGCTCCAGCTGACTTCAAATCATCAGTTTCATTGTGTGGAATCACACAAGTACCCTAAAATGATACCAACATGGAAAACATTTAACTATCCTTGCTTGTTTACTGAAAAAGAGAAGTAGAAAAGGTATTTCATGTCAAGCAAACTCTCATATTTTCTTTCTCTTCCAGTCTTGGTAGATACCAATGGACCATCCAATAGAACTCACCCCAATAACAACAAAGCAATGATGCATTACTAAAACTGACCTTACAAACTTCTCTTGCCGGTGATTCATATCTTCAGTTCATCCACTAAAATGTCCATTTACAAGATCAATTTCAAAACTCCTTTATATAAAAGAAATTCTTCACTTAAACACCTTGCAATGGAGCAAGAAATAGGCAACTAAGATTTCCTACAAAAACTATGAAGCATGCTGAGCGTACAGCATAATAAGATTACTTACAGGTAAATTAGCTAATAATCAAGTGCTTTCAGAGAAATAACTCAAATTACTAGAGCAAGAAACTACATTAAGAATTAAACTACATGGCAATTCATCATAATATTAGTATTATATATAAAATATGGATAGTAATTAGAATCAAAGAAAGGCTTGCTTCACCAACATGGAAGGCCGAGCATCGTTCACCTCCGGCTTCCTCCAAGTCTTCACTGTCTTTTCCTCAAGAGAGCGGGAATGGCCATTGCTGGCTTGCTGCTTCCAGCCCCTATATGGAAGAATACTCACAGTCATTTCAGTCTGATGCATAAATTGCTTTGTTTGGTCAATTGGTTACCTTGTAGAAAGACGAAGTATCATCTGTTTGTGCATCAGGCCATTTCTTTGCATCAAGATCCATCACTAAGCCAGGTTCCAGATTTGTTATAACCACCCGATATTAAACCCAAGTAAAATAAGAATCAATCTAGCATACACGATTTGTTATGAACACAAGCATGGCTATGCATTTTATGTTTACCTAGATACACACCTTAAGTGGATTAAATACAACCATCACTTGAGGTGCTGTTTTATTTAGTTCTTCTCTAATATGATACTCAAGACAGTCTATTTATATCATAGTCTGGTCACTGCATGTGTCGGTCCACTTAATCAGAAGATACAGAATGAAGTTCACATTTTCCATATATGAATATGCAGATACACTGCTTTCATGTTTACCGGCTCCATGCAAATTAGGAGAGTAGATTGGAACGACTGCGGATTTGCACCACTATGTGCAGCAATTTGACATTTTGTCTCACTGTTTTCAAAGGGGGAGGATATCAGTACTAGCACCAAATGATGCATGTAATGTGACAGATTACAGTATAGAATAGAATGTTAGGCAAAGGAAGTTTTACACCCAAATGTTTGCTTTAATTCTAAACATTCAAAATGTTGGAGTGTGAAGCTTATTCAATTTATAATAGCTTTGGTAAGATGAAAGTGAAAATAACCAGTCCAGTAAATACATTTGATCTATTTTATACAAGGAATTTACAAGGAAGAAGAATAAAAATGCAATTTTTAGCACAAAAGTTTCAGACTTTACATATAATTAAAAGAAAGGGAAGTGAAAAGGGCTGAGGGTATATAGTATTACCCGTATTAATTCTTTATATATGCCTTTAACCCCCAAGATCTAGATATCTGTTGGGATGCCACCTTGTGTAGCATAATTAAAAAGTTGTATTCAAATAATTTACATCTTATAATTATAATTATAACTAATTAACAAAATAAAATAAAATTAAGTAAATGACATTGCATTCTTCAAAATAAGGAACAAATTAAAAGATAAGTCACTTTCATATGATGTATAGGTAGATGTAGATTAAGTAAAAGATTCACCCGATAAACATAAATAAATACGACAAATATAGATTAATTATTTATGCAGTGTACTTACCTTCACAATGTCTCCAACCTGAAGCTTCTTCCAAGGAATACTCAACCATTTTTTATCTCCATAGATGTCTACACGGTCTAGATTTCAAACAATATGCACTCCTAACAATAAAATCAAACTAAACAGCATTCAATTAAAGAGCTAATGGTAACAGAACATTATGATATATACAAAAAAAAAAAAAAAAAAAAAAAAAAAAAAAAAAAAAAAACCAACACCAACAACAAATGTATGAGAGAATTACGTTGGAAATCTTATGCAATAGAAAAGCTATATACATAATTCAATATACCAGGTAGCTGATCTAACTCCAAATTTAAGTTTAATGTTTTTTTTCTTAATCAAAATGCTAAGCAAAATGCTAAGTTAAATTTAACAAATCAAAATGCTAAGCAAGTCGAATCTTAATCAAACACAGGTAATTAACGAACACAAGTTCAATATACCAGGTAGCTGATCTAACTGCAATAAGAGGGAGTATTATATATATTTCATAATATCTAAACCTACAAATCCATCTATATCTAATCAGAAATGTCAAAGCAAAAATGCAGGAAAAAAAAAGAGAAGAAAATGCAGTTGAAATAAGATTTCTAAGCCTAAACCCTAGACAGAGACTAAAACGGTGATACCTTTTGGTTGAGGATGAGGTTGAGGATGACGATGTGCGACTCCATAGCTTTTGAAGATGGCGATGACTCCGTAGCATTAGCTTGAGGTGTGACCGGTTGGGGACGAAGCTGAGAGAACATTTGTTGGCCGGTGCCGCCGTGTTGTGAAGAGAAATGACGCGACCTTTGGAGTTCGTCAATTTATTTATTGGAGGCCGGTATCGCCGTATCGTCAAGAGAGAAAATTTAGAGATTTGCTGTATATTACCAGTAATTATTAAATAGAATAAATATTTAATTTCTTATGTCAAAGGAATATTAAAATTTACATTAATTTTAAATTTTGTATTAAATTATTAACTTTAAAATATTTGGTTATAGTTTTAGTATGACAAATCTATGTATTTAGGAGGTTGTAACTTGTAACAGAATATAGTGACAAATTTATTAGTGGACATTGTGGGCTCCCAGATATAATCTGACTTCAGACCACCAAAGGTGGTCGGAACTCATCAAAGCTAACCAATTAAAAAAACAACGGTGATAACGTTCTCAATCACCTTTCTAGTGGTATGCCTTTCCGACCACCATTTGATAGTGGTCGGTAATATTGTCCACATTCCGACCACTTAACAGGGTGGTCAATAATTTAGAAAAAACACTAATTTACCGTCCACTTTTCTTGTTGGTCGAAAAAGTGGACGGAAAATGTCATTTTTCCAGCAGTGTTCGTACAAATAATGTGCATGATAGCATAAATAGAATCGGGGGTTACGAATACGTACGATGTGAACAATGAGGAGAGATTGTTCGTAGGTCGGTCGGTCTATTTAGGTCGGTCTAAACATTTAATGCTCCATTGCAGGCTTGCCGTGGCACGTTCTTGTTAGTTTGGTCAAACGGTCGCCCCGCTACGTGTAGGTTGACTGTCCAAGGTGACAGAGCCGTCATTCCTGCAAGTTGTTAGTCGCTGCTCTACAAGTGCAAGTTGGCTTCCATTACTTGTCGTGTAAGTTAGGTTTTCCGGCTTGCAGGTTGCGTCGCATCGTAGGCCGACCGGTCAACCTACGGTAGACCAGCCGGGTGGCTCTCCATCGGGCGATTCCAAGGGTGATCTGAGACATCATCTTCTGTCACAAGACTTATCAATACGAGCGGTACGATTGATCACAAGTGATTTTTGACCGGTTGGATAGCTTTTTGACAGACCGGCTATACAGATTAATCCTTTATGCGAATTTACCTATCAGTACAATATTTGCATTGGATCGTTAAATTCTACGGAGTAAGTTTTTAAACATGAATTTCAACATGGTATTAACGTCACAGAGAGTGTTTGACAAATTAAGAATCAATCATTTTTTTGTCAAATTTGATTCATTTTATTAATTTGATTTGATCCAACTGCAATAATAATTTTTAAAATGAAATAAATGTAAAACGTAGAAACCTATCTATCCCAACAACAACAATAATAATAATAATAATAAGAATATTATTATTATTATTATTATTATTATTATTATTATTATTATTATTATTATTATTATTATTATTATTATTATTATTATTATTATTGAACTTAAATGCTTATGTAATTGGTTTCTAAAAAATAAAGTATTTTAAAAATATATACATACATAATGAGATATACTCATATCTTATACGATCTTTACTTCTTTAGGTAGGTTGCTTTTAAGACGGAAGATCAAGTGACATAATAACAATTCTACAAATTAAATAGTTGTCGGATCTATGTTTGGTATCTATTTTGTTTATGACATTATCCTATCCTATCCTATATATAATAAAGTCATATAGTCTTGTGAAAATTAAATGGTGATAATCAACATTTAATTTTCACAAGATCATAATAATATTGTTAATTATAATAACAATAACAATAATAATAATAATTGCAATAATAATAATGA